GAAAGTAGTGGTATTTCACCGGCGATGTTGCCATCTCCCACTTATGCTACACCTCTCATGTCTCCTTACAGTGCCAGACTAGAGTCAAGCTCAACAGGGTCTTCTTTCCCCGCTAATTTTTCCAAGCCCGTTCCCTTGGCAGTGGTTTCGCTAGATAGTGGGTAGGGACAGTGGGAATCTCGTTAATCCATTCATGCGCGTCACTAATTAGATGACGAGGCATTTGGCTATCAGTAAGGCGGGCAGGCAACTGAGGTTGCTCGGAGCGCAGCTCCCTGGAAACCCTCTGTCATCATTCCGCCTCCTCACCGGCCTGCAAAGACCCATGAGGTTTCAGAATGAACGAGATGAGACCGCACCGACCTGGTTCCCCACTATCGTTTTTAGCCGCCGGCGGGTTCGACGGCGTAGTGCGTTCAAGTTTTCGGGTGCCCATGCGTTCTAATTTGGCCCCTTTGGTAGTCGAGGTTCGCCCGTCGGTTTCCCTTCAGACCTTCCTCTTGCTTTCGAAAAGAAAACTGAACCGTTTTGAAGGCTTGTGCGGTTCAAGTGATAAAGTGTTAATTGGTTGGAAAATTTCACTAAAGTGTATTAGGCTATCTTGTGTCAACAAGGCGCCTTTATGTTCAACTTGAACCTGATGTTATGCACACTCATGGTTCTTACTGCGTTCAAGTACTCCGTGAGTCAGCTGTGGTTAGCCTCGTACGTTGGATACTACCGTCGATGAAGTCATTCGCCATCTCAATTGATGAGCGAAGAGCAATCATTGATAGTGTTCTGCATAACGACTTGGAATAAATTCCTAGACGCCGCAGGCCATTGACCGTAGTCCTGGGTAGTGCCCCTCTCGCACCAATGACGATTGGGATCACTTCCACTTCTACGTCTCCGAAGATGTCGCGGAGAGGGTTCTCCAGTATCGAGTATTTGGCCACTTTTTCCTCGTGGGCTTCCTTTAGCGTGTTTGTACCCTCGTAGCGGACTGTGTAGTCGACCACTTGGGCCCTTCCCTGGTCTACTACGACCAGATCCGGTTTCAACATGCCATTGGACACGCGGAAAGTTGACTCGCGGAGTAACTCCAGGTTGCGCCGCTTCTTTGATACTTCTGACTCGACGAGGTTACCAATCTCGTCGTGTCTCTTTATCACTCGCGGCTTCAACTCTGGACATCCTCCAATAATGTGAGATAGGGATTCCGGCCTATTCTCACATACGCGGCATAGGTGGGACAGGTGATCGTGTCCAGCCCGAATGAGCGTCGTCCTGTTCCCGTACGTATTGGTACGCATGCGCAGGGCATCGATCATCCTACCGCTAGATAGAAGATCGTTCCTGGTCAACCACTCATTGGATAGCCTATCTTTAAACTCCTCGACTCCATCGCCCTGGCACGGTAGCCCTTTCCAGGAGGAATACTCCTTGTCAATGGCGCTTCGCTTCAGTTTTGCGACGGCTTCTGTGGAGGTCGGCATCTGGATTCGTAGCAGTTTAGCTGCTTTTTCCGCCTCCGCGGACCGCACAGATGACATTCCGACGTTTCGGACTACGGGGTCTGTAGACTGCCTCATCCTCACGACGGACTTGATTACAGCAAGCTGAATATCAGTTGTCATCCGGGTCACGCCTAGGCCACCTTCCTTCTTGCGCGTATATAGTAGATACATAGTGGTACTTTCTGGCAGATGGAAGATTTTACGAACAACGTTCCGGATTTGTTGGTCCGCATCTTCTAACGCCGTCTTGGAAGGTGGATTTTGCACCATTCCGTACCTGTATCTGGGGTACACATACTCGAATATCAGCTTCAGTTTCTGTTCGGGCTTGAGACTAAGTCTTGCCGCCCGTTTTGCAGCAGAAACGAATTCCTTCGCGTTGTCTTTGCTAGAAATTCCTCCTTTCCAAGGAGTGAAACTGACACCGAGGTAACGGATCGCTTCGTCTGGGTCCACATAATTGACTTCCTGATCTTTGATCTTAAGCTTGGGGTCCACGATAGCCCAAGTTTTATGTAGCGGTTTAACCGTGAACGCGCTACACTTGGCTATCGAGAGGTTCATGCCTAGGGCGCTGAAATATTCAGACACAAGTTCGATGTCCTCTACGGCGTCCCCTTCAGATTTACTGATAAGAATCAGATCATCCGCGAACGCCAGGACCGACACATTGCGTCCTCCCAGGACAATTCCCTTTCCTTCCCGCTGATCGAGGTATGTCAATAATGGGTCAACGACTGCGTTCCAAAGAAGTGGGCTAAGAGGATCGCCTTGCTTCACGCCTCTCCTCAGACTGATCTTTATTTCTTCGGTCGTAGATGGTAAGACCGTCTGACAATCCTGGTATACGTAATCGACGTATTCAGCGATATAAGGGGCCACTCCAAGCCTTCTGAGCGCCGGTACTAATGCACCATGTGGCACTGTGTCGAAGGCTTTGGAAATGTCAAGTATGGAACAAGTTCCACCCTGTTCCTCCTTCATCGCTTTCAACGTTTGGCGAAAGAGGGAGACGTTCTGAGCCGCTCCCTCGTCATGCGTGAATCCTTTCTGTGCTCGGCTTAGCTCGATGTTTCCCCTAAGAGATTCATCGATCACCCCCGAGAACAGTCTGGCTAGGATTGAGCTGACAGTAATCGGTCGCCAGCTGGCTGCCACTGTCAGATCCTTGCCATCTTTTGGAATCAGCGTTGTTCTGTTACGTTTCCAGGATTCGGGGTAAAACCCAATCCCCAAGCAGATATTAAAGATCGCAGTCAGAAGAATGCGCGCTGTTCGGCGTATGTCCTTCTTAGCCACTTTGTCTGGCCCCGCAGCAGTGTGCGTTTTCAGGCGTCGGTATCTTTTTTCTACCGTCCCGAGCTGTATCGGGTTAATATCGACGACGCCCACCCTTGTAGCTACGGTCTCTTCCCAATCAGGTGGGAAGAATGTGGTTTCTTCAACGCCCCAGAGTCCGTTATATAGGTCTCTTACCTGATCACCCGGAGGTAGTTCAGGTTGGCGGCGTTGTTCGATATCTGAGAGCCGATCCTCCACTACTAGCGTAGCTAGTTGTTTCGGTTCTTTCTCCCAGAGTTGTTGTACCGTAGCATACTCGTGTTGGCGTCTTTTGTCTCTACTTCCCCTAGCTCTGTGGTTAGCGTTTGCGGCCTTACCTCTCTGGCCGTTTCGGGGCAGATTGGGTTTGCCTCCCGCTAACTCGACGGTGAGTTCGTTGACGACGTTTTCGAGTTGTTTTACGAGTGGGTCAGATACGCTGGTGACATCTTCAGCAGATCGAAGGCTCCCCGCAATTGCAGTTAACCTGACTGCCAAAGGCTGTATTTTAGCGTCCTTCGCCATCTCGTCATGGTGTTTGGCAAGTGTTCTGATCGCCGAAGCTATCATACACTGCCTCCATCTCTTCTCTTCGTCGTCATACGATTTCTGTACTTTCACCTGAGGCTTCAAGATCTTATTTATTGGCGATTCTTTTTGCAGCTTTGTTGTCTGATTCCCAAGTGAGCGGGGTACTGCTCTGTCACTCGTTCGAGACGCTGGCCCGTTCGCCGGTTCAATCAGGCCGAGCAGACGACGCTTGTCGCTGATCTGCCTTTGTGTTTTCCCCGGGAACTGCGACATCAAGAGCTTGTTAATGTGTCTTTGTCCCGCATACTCTTGGTTTAGTTGGCGCAGTTTCTGCTCCTCTTCCTCTGACCAAATCTTTGACCTGACGCCAGCATTCGTCTTCCTGGGAGCGGCTGCGTCAGCTAACCGCTTCTGGTTTCTGATTGCTGGGTGAGCATGCCGTTCATGCATCGATAGGCCAACTTTGGTAGGGAATGATGAGGAGCAGGCTTCGCACGTATAACCAGTTTCTGCGGGACGACCTAGTGGTCGGCATGATCGAATATGGTTCGAAATTCCCGATGTGGTCGTGCTCTTTCTGTCACAGTGCGGACATTCCCAGTACGTTGTTACTTCTGGGTGCGTCTCAGATACGTGCGTTTTAGCGTCTTTCGCGCTTAGGAAGGACTGCATAACCCTCCCTGCGCGAGCGCATAGCGAGCAATTGTACCTCTCCGCAGGGTGCTTAAATGTGATAGTAGTTAGTGCGGCCTCGCATGGGTCTCCGGAGCCCGAGTCGGTGGGAGACTCAGAGTTTCCAGGAGAACTGCGTTCCGGCCCCTCAGTGGTCTGCCTGACTGTCTCAACTCCACTAGCAATTGTACGTGAAGTCGAGCACTGATAGCGAGAATCTGAACCCACTTCGAGAGCTTCACCAATCATTGTTGAATCGTCTCCAAATACGTTTCGAGCTTCGTCGCTTTCTGCACTCCAACTCGCTCCGTACGCGCTGCTGCCACCACCAATCCGAACGGCAGTTTTTTGGTCAGGTGGTAATCCCGTACAGCGCTTATCCATTGCATATTTCGTTTTCCCGAGACAATCATCCACTCACAGGGTCGGGACGCCCCGCGAGGCTTTCAGGTCGCGCTCTACTGACCTGCCCTTTGAGGACCTTTGACATGGGTGCGCTGGTGTGGTGTGTTCTAGTCCTCAGCGTCTTATGATATAGCAAGTAGCTACCGACGTGCGGGTAGTACCAGCGCCACCCAGCTGCTATTTCAAATCTTGTCCTAATCGCGATCCTTAGGGGATGCGATATCGTCGGACGGCGGATACAGACCGGTAAGGTGTATTCCGCTCGTTCAAATTTTGGTAAAATTACCGGTCTTCTGGTAGCGAACCCTTTATAGAGCAACCGCACTTGCCCATATTGGTCGGTCCGGTTCGCTTGCAGACACTGTTTCCCAGATCTTACCGACCAAGAGTCTGGTGGTCCGCGGTCTAGTGAGCTGTCGAGGCATCCTCCTTCCAGGTTTATTACCTGGAATGTATAGGATTCAACCTGCAGCAGACCTGTGCGGGTTGTTGTTCAATTTAAGGCCCCCCTATACCGAGTGTTCTTAGTATTTAAGGGAAGCCTTCTTCCTTGTCTGAAATTTTTTTTTGCAGCCAAAAAGGCCCCTGGACACTACTAGAGTGACCAAGAGGCCCATATTTTGGTGTTATTTCCGACAAGTGTGGTTTGCCTTCTTTATCTTGTGGGATCCTCTAGGAGAGGTAAACCAATAAGGCCGGTATTCTTAGGGACCAGTCGACTCAACTTGTTCTTTGTCCTCTCCTAGGCGGAGGTGACGAACACGTTTTGTCGTTTTAATCCGGTTTACCCTTGATACCTGGACCCTCTATGGTTGTTTGGTATTGTGCTTTACATCCATATTTGTTTGAAGCCTTTTAGCTGGTCAAACGAGTTCGTTTGTTCTTAGACGATACATCGCTTGTTGGTATCTCACCGACGATTTACCGTAGCAAGTTGGATACGAGTCAATCAGAGCCGACACTGATATCTCGCCCTGCTCGATAAATCTCCCCATGTTAGCAACTTTGGTTTTCTCTAGCTAATGAGACCAGAGCATACTCAAAGAGGCTTCTGAGGATCTGGCCTTTGCCCGCAAGGATCCCATTCGCATCTCTCTTGCTCTGATCGAAAAACGATAGTTCTACGTTTCGGTTATAAGACAACAACTGTCGTCGTCGTCGTATTCTCACTCGGAATGAGGAGAGATGTCGCATAAGAGAGTCATAGTTACTCCCGCCGTTTACCCGCGCTTGCTTGAATTTCTTCACGTTGACATTCAGAGCACTGGGCAGAAATCACATTGAGTCAACACCCGCAGGGGCCATCTCAATGCTTTGTTTTAATTAGACAGTCGGATTCCCCCGGTCCGTGCCAGTTCTGAGCTGACCGTTGAATGGCGGCCGAAGAGGACACCAGAACGCCCTTGCGAGCGCACTCTGGGCCTCGCAGCAAGACGGTTCCGCGGGAGGCCAAGGCACGGTACCGAGTTCGGATCCGCAATCCTACCGCACACGCGCGAACGCATACGACAGAACGTTTCACCTCGCCCAGGCCCGGCACGTCAGCCGCGACCCGCTTCCTCGCCAAGCCCGACACGCCCCGATCCTCAGAGCCAATCCTTATCCCGAAGTTACGGATCCAATTTGCCGACTTCCCTTACCTACATTATTCTATCGACTAGAGGCTCTTCACCTTGGAGACCTGCTGCGGATATGGGTACGAACCGGCGCGACACCTCCACGTGGCCCTCTCCCGAATTTTCAAGGTCCGAGGGGAAGACCAGGACACCGCTGCAACTGCGGTGCTCTTCGCATTCCAAACCATATCTCCCTGCTAGAGGATTCCATGGAACTCGAATGCTTATGCAGAAAAGAAAACTCTTCCCTGGTCTCCCGACGGCGTCTTCGGGTCTTTTTGGGTTACCCCGACGAACTCTCTTGCGAGGGCCCGACTATTGTACGGTTCCGCTGCCGGGTTTCGGAATAGGAACCGAATTCCCTTTCGCCCGACGGGCGTGTTCTTTATATATACACACATACATACATATATTTATAAAACAACGCCACATCAACATCGGCTTTCGCCTAGGGCTTAGGATCGACTGACTCGTGTGCAACGGCTGTTCACACGAAACCCTTCTCCACGTCAGTCCTCCAGGGCCTCGCTGGAGTATTTGCTACTACCACCAAGATCTGCACCGACGGCGGCTCCAGACGGCCTCACGGCCAGCCCTTCTGCGCGCACCGCCGCGACCCTCCTACTCGTCAGAGCTTCATGGCCGATCCGTTTTTACGCGGATCGAGACCGCACATGCCGCTGACGGCCGAGTATAAGCACGACGCTTCAGCGCCATCCATTTTCAGGGCTAGTAACTTCGGCAGGTGAGTTGTTACACACTCCTTGGCGGATTCCGACTTCCATGGCCACCGTCCTGCTGTCTTAAGTTACCAACGCCTTTCATGGTATCCCATAAGCGTCGATTTAGGCGCTTTAACTCGACGTTTGGTTCATCCCACAGCGCCAGTTCTGCTTACCAAAAATGGCCCACTTGGCACTCTGATTCGATTCTCGCAGCTTCATTAGTTCGAGCAAGCCGGAGATCTCACCCATTTAAAGTTTGAGAATAGGTTGAGGTCGTTTCGACCCCAATGCCTCTAATCATTCGCTTTACCGGATGAAACTCGTCACAGACGAGCGCCAGCTATCCTGAGGGAAACTTCGGAGGGAACCAGCTACTAGATGGTTCGATTAGTCTTTCGCCCCTATACCCAGTTCCGACGATCGATTTGCACGTCAGAATCGCTACGGACCTCCATCAGGGTTTCCCCTGACTTCGTCCTGACCAGGCATAGTTCACCATCTTTCGGGTCCCAGCGTGTACGCTCTTGGTGCGCCTCTTCTCGTAATGAGAACGAGACGCCCCGGGAGTGCGGAGCGGCCGCTTTATAGACGTGCCGCCCATCTTCCCTAAATCCGCGCTAGGCGGATCTTTACTTTCATTGCGCCTTTAGGTTTAGTTATGTCCCAATGACTCGCGCACATGCTAGACTCCTTGGTCCGTGTTTCAAGACGGGTCCTGAAATTACCCAAAGCTATAGCGTCGCAGATCGGCGTTTCAAACGAGGTCTGTCCGAGAAATCCGCACGACCAACAGTCGTCCGGGGACGGAACCGGGCGCTAGGTCCGATCGCCGTCTTAGCATCGAACGTGCTTGTCGTGGGTCGGACGCTAATTGAAGAAGTAGCGGCCTCGCGCCATCTGTATACCGTCGAGCGAGTCGGCCGGAACATCGCGGGTTCGAGCACGAATCGCCGAAACGATCGTACACGGACTCCACCGCGAGCCGTAGACCGACACCCAACGGATCGCGACGTCCTACTAGGGGAAAAGTGCACGCGTTCGACGCCGGATCGAAAAGCGAAAGGCGCGGACGACGCGCGAACGCCGTCCGTCGCGCGACCGCTCATCGCCGACGGCCGAAACGCGAATGAATTTCCCCTTTCGACCTTTCGGGTTTCTCAGGTTTACCCCTGAACGGTTTCACGTACTCTTGAACTCTCTCTTCAAAGTGCTTTTCAACTTTCCCTCACGGTACTTGTTCGCTATCGGTCTCGTGGTCATATTTAGCCTTAGATGGAGTTTACCACCCACTTAGGGCTGCACTCTCAAGCAACCCGACTCTGAGGAGAGATCCTCCCGCGATCGGCAGCGGCCACTACGGGCCTGGCACCCTCTATGGGCTGTGGCCCCGTTCAAGAAGGACTTGGACTCGCCGCGCGACCTCGGGATAAACGGATCCTCCCTAACACCACATTTCCCGGCGCCCGATATCGACCGCGGGATTCGGTGCTGGGCTTTTCCCTGTTCGCTCGCAGCTACTGAGGGAATCCTAGTTAGTTTCTTTTCCTCCGCTTAGTAATATGCTTAAATTCAGCGGGTAGTCTCACCTGCTCTGAGGTCGGTTAACAATATACAACACAACACCACACACAGATATATATGTCACACGCGATCGCTAATACTAAATCGTATAGCTGCTGCTGCTATACTACTACTAGTCGAAAGCGTTCTCTAGTGTTTAGCGCGTATATGCGATCAGACGTCGTTATCTCGAAAAAAATAATTTCTCTCTCGGACACGACGATCGCAGCGCAAGTTCGAAACGCGTAACGACTACAGCATATATACATATATATATATATATATATATATATATGTAGTGCTATTACGATTTTTATCCGTACAGCGCGCGTGTTCGTTCTATGTGTGAGTTTACGATTCGTTCGTATGACGAACGAATCGTCGCTTTCGCGTTTTGAGATGCCGCGACGACGACAAAGACGACGACGTTTACGATATTACATAAATAAATATATAATAACTAGCGTCGTCGCGTCGTACCGCCGCGTCTACATCCAACACGCTCCGACGTTTCATTCTCCTCTCTCATGTCGTCGTCGTCGTCGTCGTCTCTCGGATAAAGAGATAATACGACGACGCGAACAGAGATCGGAGAGGAAACCGAGCAGTCTTTTAAATTGATACGACCCTCAGCCAGGAGTGGTCCGGGAACAGTATCCGAGGACCGCAATGTGCGTTCGAAATGTCGATGTTCATGTGTCCTGCAGTTCACAAGTTGACGCGCAATTAGCTGCGTTCTTCATCGACCCACGAGCCAAGTGATTCACCGTTCAGGGTAATCGTTTTTTAATTAGACGATCTCTATATATATAAAATATATATCGATACGTCTTTATTGTTATGATAATGGCTAATGTTATTAAAGAAAATATATAAAAAAAAGAAAGCGCGCATTTCTCACGGAGACTTCGTGTATTTTGCGCGGCAAACGCGCAAAATTATTTTTGCGCGTTTATAACAAACGAGCGTGCCGACGAAGTCTCTCGTGTACGCGCGCATTCTATCCGTATCGCGCTTCTATAGCATACGCGTGTGCAAGGGGTACAAATAACACTACAACAGAGTTGTACATAACATGAATATATATGTATGTATTAAGCGTACAACACGTGTCGTCCTCTTGTACCGTCTTTTCGTATGGCGTAGAAATTTCGACTAACGGGCGAATATCTTTAAAAACAACCGGAAAAGAAGGAAATGAGTCGTGCGGACACGACGACATATCTCCGTTCTTCTCCCATATAGAGTTACCCGTCGAAAATATCGCCATCCGTACAGACGACGACGTCGTAGAGACACGTGTGTACATACGCATACGCATACAACACAATATTATGTCTATGCGATATACGCGTGTCGGAACGTACCCCGAGCGCGCGCTCGCGCGTACTAGAAGCGCTCTATACGGCGTGGTGCGTTCGAAAATTATACGTATTATATGATGGTGGGACGACGAAAAGATTTTCAATAAGATTTATAAAAAAGATACGCACTCGCGTACACGACGAGACGAGGGAAGAGGTTGTGTGTTACACACAAACAACAACACCTCGTTCGGGTAATATACACGTGTGTGCGCTCGATCTTACTATAAATGTTCCTTATTATCTTTTCGAACGTCGCTACATCATCGCCTATAATAAAAAGGCAAATTCGTTCAATGAATAGTAAAGTGTATAAGAGTAAAGTATCGTGTTGAAATATATTACTCATTATACGAAAGACTTTTTTTTGTCAAAGACAAAAATTAAAGCACTGTAATGATCCTTCCGCAGGTTCACCTACGGAAACC